AAATGATCAGCATTCCTCAATCAATAAATGATCAGCATTCCTCAATCACTCATTCAGATGACCAACCACCGTCGAAAAACTTCAACAACAGTATATTTGTCGTCATATCAGATGCCAATACCGAACAAGTGATGATGGTGACCAATAAATTAGTGGACCATAAATATTACTGTGAGGAATGTACGTTAGGAGCAGGGCAATATTCAGTCACATTCCATTCTTGCCGAAGTGTAACTGTAAGTGCGGATCAACTAGATAAAAGCTCGAGAGTACCATTGGTGGATGAGGAAACTGGAAAACTGACCAAAAGTTTCAGGTATGCTCATTAGATATCATTTATTCAGGATGCACATTTTATTCACGGCATATTCTTAATCAATGCTACTGTCATTATTTCATTACATGGCTGCCATTATCATTTTCATCATAAATATCACAAACCATCAGTTTTCTTTGATTTTCCCAAATTAAGGTACTGAATCAAGTTCTGCAGTATAATCTCTCATCCCTGACAGTCTCACGATTACTCGACTGCCTGAATATAGGAGGGTTCGTATACGAGGGATAGACGACTGCTCAATGATATTTTGTATTTTTTATAAACAAATTTTAGCACCAAATACGATGCGTATGCAATTATTAACAGGAACGAGTGAGTGAATAATGAAAGAAATAAAAGCATTCTGATGATTGGATGCGAAGGATTTCACCGATCTCTTATGATTTCTTCAATGTGCTATGATTCATAGCATCTGTAACTGAGAGCTCTTTTCATCATCAATATCAAAATGGAAGAATTGAAATTTTATTGGAGTGAAGATTATATTGTACGAAAGCTTCACTATGAATCTATTGTACAGTGGATATCGAAGCTAGAATGTATGCTCACTGTACAGATCAAAGTGTCCAGAGAGATTTACTGTTAAAAGTCGTGTAACGGGGTTATTTTTGACCGATTAGACAAGTGATCAGTTCTTGATTCACAGGATAAGTTAGGAACGGCAAGGTTCTCATCAAGAACTTATTGTTAGACATTTTCCAGAAAACGAAAAATCGCTGAGTAGAATGAATATGAAGATGTGCGTTCAAAGAGTTATATCCGAGGGCATAAGTGCGCATTTCAGAATGACGTTGATGAATATTTTTGATTTGTTCGATTTTGATGAGAACGGTACTTTGAGTCGAAGCGAATTCGATGCATTCAACGTTGTTGCAAGTGATGAGCATGTTTCTGATCAGGTACTATATAAATTCATTGAGCAACTTCAATTATTAACACTTAAAAGTATCGAGAACTCACTTTTTTAACAGTGTCTTAAAATGGATATCGTATTCGTTGATGGAACCGGAAGATATTTTGTATAGATATAAAATACTTCAACATATGTACAATCAAACTGCTGTTCACTATTGTTTCCAGGAGTGGGATGTACTGCTGGATAATTTTGAGACTCGAAACGGTGAGCTGACAATGAGCTCATTGATAGCACTCCATCAGGTTCGGTTTTTCGCACAAATTCTATCATTTAGCTTTTGATTATCTCATTAATTCCATTTCTCTCAAGAAACCTTGAAAGTGAATCTCCTAAATTTACGTTGATAAATTCCATATTTACACGGATTTCTTATTCTTGCAAATGGAACTCTCGTCAGACATGTCATGTTTCGTAACTTTTCTTCCGTTTATTCACTGTTCGAATCACAGTTTGGTAATCAAGTATGCAACTTTGGTAACTTCCGTTTTAATCATATGATTTATATATTTTTTATTGACATCAATCCATGGAAAGCAAATACATTCAGAATAGTTGTAGGTTGAAGCAGATAACAATGATGATTTGGAGGAGACTTGGATCTCGCTCCAATGTATTGGCTACAACGCAAACTTATCACTCGAATTGGTGAGTCGTTCTAGAGAGAACTTAGAGATCATAATGTCATGGGATTATCAAAATTAAACATCGATCCAATCCAGCGGTTCTCATAAGGGATGAAATTACCAATTTTGGGTAATCTGTAATGGAGGGGGTTGGGAAATCCTGTGAGTTGGTTTTTCAGCACGAATTGATTATCATACGGCGTAGATTCATTGTAATCACATCCATCCGTCAATAAATGGTGTTCTAACAGAATTTTCATTCTTTTCCGTGCTGTTACAATCGCTCTCATGACTTTTATCACCAAAAGTGTTTTCTTCTGCTAATTTCTCATTCATTTCACTCAACAATTAAAGTCAAATTCTCATTCTATTAAACACACTCTAAAATGGATCATTTGACTGTCGAACGTTGTTGAGCAATTCAATTCGACTGTTGTATTGTTGATTTCACCTGTCAACACTCGTTAACGTATCCGATAAATAGTATATGCTACAGAATGAGAAGTTGATTCGAACTGTAAAGTAAAATGAGACGAAATGAATGAGAAAAGCTCATGAAGAGAACGATATTCGCATGCAATAGCTATGAGAGCGAATACAACACGTTTGAAAAGAATGAGAATTCCTCTAAATCAGTTTGAAGTGAGCGTGTCACAGACAATAGGTTTTCATGCAATCATAATCGATTGCAACAATAGGCAACACAACGGTCTAACAATAAGAGAAGGCTAGCGATGGCGAATACCATCATGTTGCTAACAAGATCTGAACGTAATGGTTATCTGAACAAAACATGCGATTTCCATATTCAGTTGTATTGTTAAGGAAAGTAATTGACATGATTATGCAAGTGTTCATTCAAGGTTCCTTTGTCAACTTTCAGAACTGTCCATTGGTTTTCACGATCCTTTCTGAACAAGAGCTTAGTCTCAGTGCGGTTGAACTGAGACTCTTCTCGTCTCAAGAAGAGCAGATGATAGCAGATTATTTTTGGGCAAACTCAAGTGAATGCTCATTCAATGATGGCATTAATATAGGCTTATGGAAGAGTGAATACTTTGCTGTGTGTGTCGCTGGACCGATGGTACTACCAGCTTCCAATGATTTAATTTTCAAAAAAAAAAACAACGACTCACTCAAAAGGCCCGTAAACGAAAAACGAGCTCTATGCGCCATTCTCGATAACTAAATTTCATTTTGATGCTGTCCAACAAAAAATTGTCTTCTATTTTCGGAAAACTCCAAAAAATATCCCTCCAGAGCATAAAATGCCTAAAACTCACTAAATTCCTAACCAAGTCAGTCAGAATTTCGAATCGATTCCAGCAACTTACCGATCGCGTAATAGCGTTGGACTATTCAGAGTCTCGAAACGTTACGATTCAAGCAAAAATGCAGCTATCTGCAATTCTACTTCAGTTCCAAAATCCAACGGTAGCTTTTAAACGATCTATCCTGCTTATCACATGCAATGTTCGGCAACTTGTGCTGATGATCTCTTGCATACATTTTGATTTGTCCTTTCAAACCTTCAACTCCTCAAATTTACAATAATGAGTGGAAGGATTCAAAGTCGAAGATTCGAATTCATTTTGAAACGAATTGAGTGAGTTGCTGGATATTCACTGAGCAATTGGTTTATATTGATCATGCTTCAAGTACATATCTTTCGTCGTTTGTTGAATGGCAATGAAAGCTATCTGATTAGTTCTGCAAATTGCATTTTCTTTCAATACATGCAATCCAAAAAACAATTCCCAATTTTCATTATAGAAAACTATCTACGAATGAAATCCCCAAACACCATTGCAGATACTTTTCTTCGCCACTGCAACAAATCCCGATTGGTTTGTCGGTTTGAAGTTGGACAATGAAGAATGATCGCGGAAAAAATTTCGTATCGAGAGAGTACTCTCACGAACAGATGTAAAATTGTGATTCCATCAGAAAAGATTCGTTTTTTATTTATTAAAAAACAATCAAATCAGCGAACAAACTGTAGGGCAGTTGTTAATTTATTAGATAGAATCAAAAAGTGGTAAAGCATCTTCAACATTGTTCTGTAGCAAATATCCTAACAAAGTTGTAAAAATAAACGTAAATATATAATGAAATGCAACAACAATAACAACCATAGAATTCGTATAATTCAATTTTAAGAGAACAACTATATTTCTTTCGATTTTCGATTGAATATAAGAAATCCAGCTATAATTTCGAAATGGAATGAATAAATGCGAAGAAAGGTTGC